CACATAATAATAAATATTCATAATGGATTAAAATAAATTTTCTCTGTTATTAAGAATATGATTTAAAKTTTGATAATATATATTTTTGGATTTGCATGATATGTATTAGAACATGAGAGTTATGATATAAATTGACTTTTACTGGTTTTACGATCCACGTTAAGTAATATTTTAAAATTTAATGGATTACTAATTAAAGCTTATATATTTATTTTATTAATTTTTATAATATTTACCCGCGTATTAACGCGGATCCTATTCTAGTTTTATATAAAAGAACTCACCTTTTCTCAATCTCATTCTAAGACAAGAGACTTTGGCTTTGTAATAAGTTGTGTGAATCCACAATGTTTTGTTTATATAAAATGATGATTCATGAGGCCTCTTTGCTGTATACAATCTGAAGCTACTCAAAGACTAAGATAATGCTTTTTGGTACCTATGACTCAACAAAGAGATGTTCGAGATCGCAAAATTGTACCGGTCAAACATCCCGACTTGATCACTCTGCAAGGAGCTTTTGGAGAGTGACCGCGTCATGATGTTTGACCGAATCAGCTTTGGGAATGTCTAAACATATCTCACCATGGAGGCATATGTCTCTACTCCATCGACTACGACGTTACTATTGCCAATGTCATTTTCTTCTAACCTAAATTTAAACAGCTTTATGCTTCTTCTTCCTTTCACCGAACGTAAAAGAACACAATGAGGAGAGCGAGTGGGAGAGCAACTGCAGCCGAGGAAACAGTCCAAATCCATAACCTGTAAGCTTTTCTACGCTTTAAGATGGCTTTGGGGACATCTTTATTTCCTTTCCCGAGATGTCTATACCTAAAACTTCTCTGTTTCGGAAACACTGATCTTCGATTTAATAGTTTCTCCTTTTCTTGCTCTGATGCCCCAGTGACTGTCTCTGTTGTTCTGTCTACATCTGAAGAAGAAGAGTTAAACGTAGCTTTCTTCTTCGCTCTCTTCTCGCGCTCTTTAAGTTTCTTTTCGGCTTCTTTCTTAACTCTTATGGCAGCTTTAGCAGTAGCTTTCTCATGTAGCTTCCTCTTCCTTTCCATCGCTAGTCGAGCTTTCTCTAACTGCTCTTCTCGTTTCTTCTCTTTCAAAGTTTCTTCATCGATCTCTTCGTCCTCTTTTCCAAGCTTCTCACACACAGGGATATAAAAATCCATAGAATCATCACTCTCCTCCTCAGTACTAAACCTCTTGAGTTCTAACGCCTTTTTCTCTGCTTCTTGACTTCCATTCTCAGTAGCTACATAGCCTTCCAAGCTCCTAATCCTCCCATCGCGCCTCAGCTTCCGCTCATCAAGTGAAGGCAAGATTCTTTTCTCGTAATCTTCCCTAAACGTCTTGTCATTGTTCCAACGATACATAAATCTATCAACCTATCAAAAATACAGACACAAAGACAAAATAAGAACAAAATGCTTAGAGACATCCAAATTCAATCTACAATACGGACTAACAAAACAAACCTCGGAATTAGCTAGCTCTTCAAGATCTCTAACATTTCCAGAAGCAGCTAATTCTAAAGCTTTCTTCATGACAACACGGCTTTGGAAATACACGGCATTCTACGGAAAAAACAAAACACACACCCTATAAGAAAAAAGATCTTCAAGAACACCATTCGATAGAGAGAAAAGCGGTAAAACGCACCCCTTTGTCTCGTTGTATCCTCAAAATCTTAATCTTTTCAAAAGCTTTGTCTCTTCGATCAAGCACACAACTCAATTGAGCATCCAACAACTCAATTTCCATCGTAATCTCACTTAACCTCTCACTCAAACTCTTGATTTTCTCTTTAACCACTTCTTGTTCATTCGACTGATTACAAAACATTGCATTGTATTCATCAATCAAAGACAATCTCTCAACCTAACACCAAAAACAAAACAAAAAACAACAACAATTTTGAAATCAAAAATGTAATTAAATCAATCAACAAAAACAAAACTACAAAAAAAAAGGCTCTAAAGACTCACTCTTTTAGCTTTCAATCTATTAACAATCTGAATCCTGTCACTATTACACCGATAAATCTTAGTATCAGATTCATCGATCTTAGCTTTAATCTCAGGATCATCATAAACGAATTGCTTAACAAAGTAAAAACAGAAGCGATTCTCTCCAGACCATTCCTCTTCTTCATCAACCAAGTCTCCGTGTGAACTCTCACCGGAAAACACAGCTCCGTCGTCTTCCTCGGTGGTTACCGTCGATGATACATCGCCGTTTAACTTTCCGATAAGAAATTGACGCACATCGAAGCCGTCACACAGTACAATCGGTGAACTCATCACCAAAAGAGACTAAAGATCAAACCTTTAATACAGAAAAACGCAGAATCACAGAAAAATCTCAGGGTTTTAGCTGAAGAAAAATATCTAATTTTTTATTCTTTTTTTGTGAAATTTAAAAGTTTTAAGAAGAAAAAGTTAGATCTTTCGGGGATTCTAGATGAACCCATAAGAAGAAAACTGTGGGAAAGATTAAAGTTCTTGTTTTTGCGTTCACATTTCAATTTTATGTTTCCTGTTTCTTCTTGAAATCCCAAAATTTTTTTTTTTTAATTAATTGTTTTCTTTTTATAAATAACATATTATACTCCCATTGACTCGGTCAAACTACTAGTCAGACCGCTAGACAAACACTTGGCCGTGGCTTAATTCCGAGACTAAAACAAAGCTTGGAAGATTACAACAATAAAACCAAGAAAATCCAACACAACACGAACAAAGATCCAAACCACTCCGAAGTTTCATCGTTGATACTCAAACCAATATCAGTGAGGGAAAACTGTTGATATGCATCACCGCGAGAAGATTTATTCGGATATACGGAGAACAAGGAAACTTAGCCGTTGAGTCGGGGAAAACCTGCCCCAAGAACATCTTCGTTATCACCACACCTTCCAGAGCTTTATTCTTCTACTAGAATACCAGACCAAAGCGTAGAGGATATATCAAATCAGAACCGATAGAACCAAAGCCAATAGAACCAAAGCGTATTAAGATTGTATGTTATTTGGACGATTTTCTTTATAATATTTATTAATTAATTTCAGGTAAAATCGTGGTCCATTCGTACCTTACCATATTGACTAGTTCTAATTCTAATACAGTTATTGCAACTCAAGAAAAAACAAAAAAAAAACTCAAATACATGATTTATCAAATTTTAATACTCGCAATTTTTTTTTCTTTTGAACAACATTATTACAGCTTATTTATTAATTTACCAAATAGTAAACCATCCAATTGAATTGATTATAAGAAATTGAATGATATAGATTTACAACTCAACAATTCCATAAATATACGACGTGAAGAAATAGATAAGTATCTTAATAATGGCAATGTATTAAAAAGAGAGAGAGAATAGTAGTGTTAGTTGAATTGTTGTTATCACATGTCCTTATGCCTTTGTTACAATATAACATAACCTAATGACTAAGGAATATGTTACCTTTATACATTTTAAATTTAACTTTTCAAAAGATTTATATATGATCCGTTGGATTATATATTACGAAATCGCAAACGTTAATTCTTTATCTCTTCAATTTTTTCAGTTTTTATTTGTGATGTAGAGAGTGATGATTATCTCCCAAAATAAAAATTATAATCAAATTTGCCAAGATAGAATACCATTCATGTAAACAAAACGGTTTTTGTTTTGTTTTGTAATTTGTTTCTTATGCAGATATTTCATTAATTGCTTAAATCGGTTTCTTAATTGCAATAATAAAAGATAATAATTATTTATTGATTTTATATAATTCGTTTTCGTGTTGTAGCTTCATAAGAATTGGATATAACCTCCACGAATTTCCATCTTCTTTTTTGAGGAATTTTTATTTTGTATTTATTTTGGAAGAATTTCAAAATTTGTTCTCTCTTAATCATCTTTTTTTTTTTTTTGTCACTTCTCTCTTAATCATCTATATGTAATTTTAGTAGTCGCAAAGAGTGTATAACTGTTTTATGTTCTTCACCAAACGTATCAAGATCAAAGGAAAAATCTATGTTCTTCCTCTCTTGTGTTAGATAGAACTTTGCACCAAACCAATACAGAGAAAAAGGTTTCAATCTCTCTTCCTTCACTATATCTTTTTCGATTCGTAGATTTGATCATATCGAACCTTAAGTCAATCTGACTTAAAGGTAATCTGAAATCTTGATTTGTTTGTAGGAATTAGTG